TTTGTCAGTCATTTTGACAGCTCTAAAACACTGGTAAGAATTTAAAAGTAATGCAATTTATAAACTTTAGTGACGATATGACACTGCCTCGATTGTGCAAGTGACAATTCCTGTGTCAACTGTACAGCGTGCAGCTCGCTTATTGTGCAGACGCGATGTGATTTGAAGCCATTTGCACATTTTGAGAGAGAAAGAGAGTGTGCGCATAATTTCACGCTGTTTGTGAATTTATGTCTCACAGAAAGTTTTCAAATTACTTTATAAGGTATTTACTGAAGAAATATGAATTGCACCTCACCTTCAGCATTATAATTATTTCACCCACTCCGGACAGAGACTGAGACGGTGCCGCTGCAGGTCGTGCCAAACCTCTCACAGCAGGCACGTGATCAGCCTGAGATCGTTTTTTTGAGATCGGCCTTTTTAGAGACCGCCGATCAAACATCCCAACGTGATTATCGGCCAATAGTGATCGGTAGCCGATCAATTGGAGCACCCCTAGAAAGAGCACAGGCAAAGCCTTAGTTTGTTTATATGAAGGGATTTATTTTATTTGTGTTGTTTATTTATTTGATTTGGGGTTTGTTTTAAAATTGTATATTTAAATTTCACAAAGAAATGTTCAGCATTTTGTCCAAGCAATAATAAAAGGACATATTTTCATTTATAATTTGTCTTCAATCTCAGTTAAAAAAATAAAATCAAAATTGTGAGAAAATCGTATCGTGAAATCAGTATTGTGATTCGTATCGCATCGTGAGTTGAGTGAATCATTACATCCATAAAGTGAACCGATCATCTCTTCCTCTTTATTACCGACGTTAATCTACTCTCCTGTCTGGTTTGTTTGTCGGACAAAATGGCAGATTCAGCGTTATGATTGGTCAGATCTGTCAATCAAACTCCTTGCAAAGTGTCAATTAAGCACATTTTATCTCCAATTATTCTCATTATCTTAATGCATCCTCAAGTTTTACTTTTACTACTTCCATTACCGTCACTGATTATTCTCATAACTGTATTAGAGTAATTTTACTGTATTAGAGTAAAAAAAAAATAAAAAAAAAAGGCTATATGTGACCCTGGAGCACAAAACCAGTCTTAAGTCGCTGGGGTATATTTGTAGCAATAGCCAAAAAAAAACATTTTATGGGTCAAAATTATCGATTTTTCTTTTATGCCAAGAATCATTCGGATATTAAGTAAAGATCATGTTCCATGAAGATATTTTGTAAATTTGCTACCATAATTATATCAAAACTTAATTTTTGATTATTAATATGCATTGCTAAGAACTTCATTTGTACAACATTAAAGGCGATTTTCTCAGTATTTTGTTTTTTTGCACCCTCAGATTTCAGATTTTCAAATAGTTGTATCTCGGCCAAATATTGTCCTCTCCTAACAAACCATACAACAATGGAAAGCGTATTTATTCAGCTTTCAGAAGATCTTTAAATATAAATTTCAAAAAATGTACTCTTATGACTGGTTTTGTGGTCCATGGTCACATATAATGTTGAAATAGCATAACGTGTGGCGTGACAAATAACACCATGATGTATTAACATATTTAAGTACTATTTGAATATGAAATAATGTGAACAAAGAATACGACTTTTTCTTTGCATTAGAATAATGAGAATTTAAGGGGAAATTAGCTTAATTGACACTGAGAGGAATGTCGCAATGCAAAAATTATTAATGAGTCTAAAATAAAACCAAAACAGCATGATGGGGAAAAACAGCCATTGGCACTAACATAAGCCTTATGGGAAGATGAAGTGGAAAAATCTGCCTACAGAAGGGCATTCAGTGATAGCCTGAGGAAAACACAGTGGTGGCATTTGCGTGCAAGCAGGCAACACGTTCCGTCCGTGGAGGAAAAGCGATGAGTCAACTGAAGGAGAAGAAAATTGCTCTCCCAGTGAAAGCTTTCATTCCCATGTGCAGTTGCCATGACTACAGCTGATGTGATTACCAGGCAGCGGTGATGTTATGAGGTGTGTGAGCGAGTGTGCTGAATGATGCACTACAGCAGGGGTGTCCAACCCTGCTCCTAGAGAGCTACCATCCTGCAGATTTCAGCTCTAACCCCAATCAAACACACCTGAACCAGCTAATCAAGGTGTTCAGGGTTGCTTGATAATTACAGACAGGTGTGCTGGAGCAGGGTTGGAATTAAAGTCTGCAGGACGGTAGCTATCCAGGAACAGGGTTGGACACCCCTGTGCTACAGTGTAACGCTACAAGAGTCGTCATGTTAGGAAGCCCTGTGAGAATGCCACATATTCGTACACGTTTAATGAGTAAACTCCAGCAAACAAAAATAGCCGGTGATCCAGCAGGCTCTGATGTAAGTTTTGTTGTGTTCTGAGAGAGGAAAGAAAACATGAGCGAAGAAAGTGACTAATCCCAACACAGTCTGCACAGTACAGGCAATTTGCACCTCTGGATAATGTTCAGATGACAGAAATTTGATCGCTCCCAAATTGCACTAGATAAAATACGCAGCTGGAGCTTCTTCAGAAATAACACTTTTCTGAATCATTTTGCAATGACTTAACCAACTGATCTAAAGGTAGGCGAGTGGATGCATGAAGTCAGTTCTCCTCAAGTTCACAGAGGTGTAGTTCATCACATAATAACCATACATTTGATTATATTCATTACAATATTTTTGTATTTTGTGAACTTCTGATTAAAAGTATCACCACTGTTTTTCAACAACTGATAATTCAACATTGAAAGGTCAGGTAGGTGCAGTTGCAATATAACTAACTAAATTAGTAAACAAGTGCATAACTGCAGGTCCAGGTAATGTGCATGAAAACACCGGCCTGAGATGCAGAACTACTGTAGCAGCTGATACATGGCTTTATAAAGGAAATGTGAATGATGCTATGATGCTATGCCTTTCAAAACAAACCTGATGTGCTCTTGGTGTTTACTTGATGCATCTACTGTGAACAAGACCTGAATAGGCACAACAACTGCAAACTAGCAAGCACAGAGATGTTCAATGTTCAACGTTACAACAGAACAAGCAAATGAACCAGGCAAGACTGTAAAAACACATCCTACTTACACAGAAAAACACGAGTGAAAGCACGTGTTTCTTTCTCGTTGTCAGATTATTTTTTTTAAACACTGTTAACTGAACACACATTCATTAACCCACCAATGTTTGTTTCACGCAAAAAGTTTAGACGGCACAACTCAACTCTGCATGAACTGATTTGGTTAACCTTCCACGCTCTCCCCAAACATGCTTCACTATCAATTATCGCCCACTACAGCAGTTTTTGGATTTGCGAAGGTCTTATGCTCAAATAGACAGAACGACCCATTTACTTCACTTCATAAGGCCGAGCAACTCTTCAATGCTTGTACTCACATCCAAAATGTGCTTCTCCGGGATCTGTTGTGTTGCGCTCCAGTGTTGTTATGATAGTCCTCTGCTGTATATCGTGATAATACCGTATACCGTGATAAAAGCATTAGCAATTAATCGCAACATGAGAATTTGATACCGGCATATCCCTACGCGCGAGCGCTGAATGGTTAAACACTGGCAAGAATTAAAAAGAAATGCGATTTATAAACTTTAGTGACGATGCGACACTGCCTCGATTGTGCAAGTGACAATTCCTGTGTCAACTGTACAGCGTGCAGCTCGCTTATTGTGCAGACGCGATGTGATTTGAAGCCATTTGCACATTTTGAGAGAGAAAGAGAGTGTGCGCATAATTTCACGCTGTTTGTGAATTTATGTCTCACAGAAAGTTTTCAAATTACTTTATAAGGTATTTACTGAAGAAATATGAATTGCACCTCACCTTCAGCATTATAATTATTTCACCCACTCCGGACAGAGACTGAGACGGTGCCGCTGCAGGTCGTGCCAAACCTCTCACAGCAGGCACGTGATCAGCCTGAGATCGTTTTTTTGAGATCGGCCTTTTTAGAGACCGCCGATCAAACATCCCAACGTGATTATCGGCCAATAGTGATCGGTAGCCGATCAATTGGAGCACCCCTAGAAAGAGCACAGGCAAAGCCTTAGTTTGTTTATATGAAGGGATTTATTTTATTTGTGTTGTTTATTTATTTGATTTGGGGTTTGTTTTAAAATTGTATATTTAAATTTCACAAAGAAATGTTCAGCATTTTGTCCAAGCAATAATAAAAGGACATATTTTCATTTATAATTTGTCTTCAATCTCAGTTAAAAAAATAAAATCAAAATTGTGAGAAAATCGTATCGTGAAATCAGTATTGTGATTCGTATCGCATCGTGAGTTGAGTGAATCATTACATCCATAAAGTGAACCGATCATCTCTTCCTCTTTATTACCGACGTTAATCTACTCTCCTGTCTGGTTTGTTTGCCGGACAAAATGGCAGATTCAGCGTTATGATTGGTCAGATCTGTCAATCAAACTCCTTGCAAAGTGTCAATTAAGCACATTTTATCTCCAATTATTCTCATTATCTTAATGCATCCTCAAGTTTTACTTTTACTACTTCCATTACCGTCACTGATTATTCTCATAACTGTATTAGAGTAATTTTACTGTATTAGAGTAAAAAAAAAATAAAAAAAAAAGGCTATATGTGACCCTGGAGCACAAAACCAGTCTTAAGTCGCTGGGGTATATTTGTAGCAATAGCCAAAAAAAAACATTTTATGGGTCAAAATTATCGATTTTTCTTTTATGCCAAGAATCATTCGGATATTAAGTAAAGATCATGTTCCATGAAGATATTTTGTAAATTTGCTACCATAATTATATCAAAACTTAATTTTTGATTATTAATATGCATTGCTAAGAACTTCATTTGTACAACATTAAAGGCGATTTTCTCAGTATTTTGTTTTTTTGCACCCTCAGATTTCAGATTTTCAAATAGTTGTATCTCGGCCAAATATTGTCCTCTCCTAACAAACCATACAACAATGGAAAGCGTATTTATTCAGCTTTCAGAAGATCTTTAAATATAAATTTCAAAAAATGTACTCTTATGACTGGTTTTGTGGTCCATGGTCACATATAATGTTGAAATAGCATAACGTGTGGCGTGACAAATAACACCATGATGTATTAACATATTTAAGTACTATTTGAATATGAAATAATGTGAACAAAGAATACGACTTTTTCTTTGCATTAGAATAATGAGAATTTAAGGGGAAATTAGCTTAATTGACACTGAGAGGAATGTCGCAATGCAAAAATTATTAATGAGTCTAAAATAAAACCAAAACAGCATGATGGGGAAAAACAGCCATTGGCACTAACATAAGCCTTATGGGAAGATGAAGTGGAAAAATCTGCCTACAGAAGGGCATTCAGTGATAGCCTGAGGAAAACACAGTGGTGGCATTTGCGTGCAAGCAGGCAACACGTTCCGTCCGTGGAGGAAAAGCGATGAGTCAACTGAAGGAGAAGAAAATTGCTCTCCCAGTGAAAGCTTTCATTCCCATGTGCAGTTGCCATGACTACAGCTGATGTGATTACCAGGCAGCGGTGATGTTATGAGGTGTGTGAGCGAGTGTGCTGAATGATGCACTACAGCAGGGGTGTCCAACCCTGCTCCTAGAGAGCTACCATCCTGCAGATTTCAGCTCTAACCCCAATCAAACACACCTGAACCAGCTAATCAAGGTGTTCAGGGTTGCTTGATAATTACAGACAGGTGTGCTGGAGCAGGGTTGGAATTAAAGTCTGCAGGACGGTAGCTATCCAGGAACAGGGTTGGACACCCCTGTGCTACAGTGTAACGCTACAAGAGTCGTCATGTTAGGAAGCCCTGTGAGAATGCCACATATTCGTACACGTTTAATGAGTAAACTCCAGCAAACAAAAATAGCCGGTGATCCAGCAGGCTCTGATGTAAGTTTTGTTGTGTTCTGAGAGAGGAAAGAAAACATGAGCGAAGAAAGTGACTAATCCCAACACAGTCTGCACAGTACAGGCAATTTGCACCTCTGGATAATGTTCAGATGACAGAAATTTGATCGCTCCCAAATTGCACTAGATAAAATACGCAGCTGGAGCTTCTTCAGAAATAACACTTTTCTGAATCATTTTGCAATGACTTAACCAACTGATCTAAAGGTAGGCGAGTGGATGCATGAAGTCAGTTCTCCTCAAGTTCACAGAGGTGTAGTTCATCACATAATAACCATACATTTGATTATATTCATTACAATATTTTTGTATTTTGTGAACTTCTGATTAAAAGTATCACCACTGTTTTTCAACAACTGATAATTCAACATTGAAAGGTCAGGTAGGTGCAGTTGCAATATAACTAACTAAATTAGTAAACAAGTGCATAACTGCAGGTCCAGGTAATGTGCATGAAAACACCGGCCTGAGATGCAGAACTACTGTAGCAGCTGATACATGGCTTTATAAAGGAAATGTGAATGATGCTATGATGCTATGCCTTTCAAAACAAACCTGATGTGCTCTTGGTGTTTACTTGATGCATCTACTGTGAACAAGACCTGAATAGGCACAACAACTGCAAACTAGCAAGCACAGAGATGTTCAATGTTCAACGTTACAACAGAACAAGCAAATGAACCAGGCAAGACTGTAAAAACACATCCTACTTACACAGAAAAACACGAGTGAAAGCACGTGTTTCTTTCTCGTTGTCAGATTATTTTTTTTAAACACTGTTAACTGAACACACATTCATTAACCCACCAATGTTTGTTTCACGCAAAAAGTTTAGACGGCACAACTCAACTCTGCATGAACTGATTTGGTTAACCTTCCACGCTCTCCCCAAACATGCTTCACTATCAATTATCGCCCACTACAGCAGTTTTTGGATTTGCGAAGGTCTTATGCTCAAATAGACAGAACGACCCATTTACTTCACTTCATAAGGCCGAGCAACTCTTCAATGCTTGTACTCACATCCAAAATGTGCTTCTCCGGGATCTGTTGTGTTGCGCTCCAGTGTTGTTATGATAGTCCTCTGCTGTGTTTCTGAATTACAAACAACCCCCAAACTGACGTTACTGCACGCAGTAATCGTAAATCTGAAGCACAGAGCCTGTGTTTAGTAACAGAGCTCCCGCTTTCCTTCAAATGCAGCTCGTTCTCATGTAAACGCGCGTCTCTCTGTCTATTGTGTCCGCGCTGTTGATATTAAGTTTTGCCCACGGGGAAGAGACAGGTCAGCGGTACTACACCGCCACCTACCCGTAAGACAAGGGAAAAACATATTAAATTCTTTATAAAATTGCCCCCCCAATTTTACCCCCCAAAATGCTGACCAATTACTCGCACTTAGACGATCCAAGGTAAGTTTGTTTCTTCATGGGAACAGATTTGTATAAATGTAGCATTACATCACTTGCTCACCAGTGGATCCTCTGCAGTGAATGGGGGCCGTCAGAATGAGAGACATTTCGTACACAATGGTATTTCAAAGTGCTTTACATAAAAGAAAGTAAAATAATCATAAAAAAATAATCACAAGAATAAAACAAGGAATTGAAAAACTTTGAAAATGATTCAAAAATCGATTCAAAATGAATTTAAGACAGTTAAAAATAGAAAATGATTATACATACATAAAATACAGTGCAATCAGTTCGGACATCGCACAGTGCTCATTCAATAAATGCACAGCTAAACAGATGAGTTTTGAGTCTAGATTTAAATGTGACTCATGTTTTAGCACATCTGATTCTTTCTGGAACTGCGAGCGGCATAATAACTAAAAGCAGACTCCCCTTGTTTTGTGTGAACCCTTGGTATTTCTAACTGACTCGACATAGCTGTGATAGGCAATTTGGTTCTTTCTCATTATTTGACTTAGTGGGAGCATATACAGGCTAAACAAGAGCGGTGCAAGAATTGAGCCTTGTGGGACTCCGCATGTCATTACTCACTTGAAAACCAGGTGATTACTTTCGCAGCTCTCTAAAATTCCGTCTCGACCTGTATCCTAATTAAACAACATTTGCTGAGCAATTTATTCAAGCAGTATGTTGAGTAATCACCAAGACTGTCGTCTCAGGCTTTCACTGGTTTAATAGGTAGGTCAGGCACGAACACGAGGGGAGCGGGTAGTAAGATTAGTAATATGAGCAAAGAAGATTTAAGGCTTAGCTCCGACCTCGAAACTGGCTTTTACGCGCAAATGGTTTCTTGTGCGCTTCTTTTATACCGTTATCTACCAACGCGCAAGTGTAGAAATGTGAAAATGTAGCTATTTTTGCAGTATTTTGATTGTGTAGCTTATTAGTAGTTGAAATTGTGTGTTGTTGCCAGAATCTGCTTTAAAATACAGGTTAATTTAAACCATATGCATACTTTACAGAGACTGAAAATGAATGAATGCGCATGCATGAACATCAGCCGGAGTGATGCGGGCGGGGGTCTAAAGCTCTCATCTGTGCATGGTTGTGTGCTGAAGTGGAGTGGGTAATACCG